CAGAAAATTACATTGAGAAATGTTAGTCATCATTCGGTGAAAAAACAAAGCATTGTGAATTGTAACATTGAAGAACCACGAAATGAGAAGCTAATACCTTTTTCGGTTGCAGATATTTGCTCTGTTCTGATACACATTTTGATTCATTCTGTAAGGACCTCCCCCCATGTATTTATCCTATGTAAGAATTGCAGGAGGAGGGACTTACATATGATTGGTTTGCTATGAGTACCTTTCTACTGCGGTATTTGGTCTCTCTCTATATGAGCTTAATCAGCTTGATCGTAGCGAATTTTGTCCAAATCTCGGGTTGATCTTTTCGACGACAGACCTCTCAACTTTGGCAGTGATGTATATCTTGTGAGGTGAGTAATGGCAGTGTCTCGTCTGAATTCCTTTCCTTCCGGTCTTCATATAAATCTGCTAAGCAAAGCTTCATCTATGACCCACGTCAATATTGCACAGCAGTACTATTTCTTACCACTGATAGATATACGCCATTGATTTATATCTTTATCCATTCGATCGGCATCACTCGTATTTGGTATTAAATATGCTAATTGCTGGCTGACATTTATATGTTTATTTTTCTCTTTTGATATCTCTTTACATACATGACAGGTGATTCTCCGAGCGAATTTGATGCAAACTACAACCACTCTATCCGTTTCCATGTAATGGACCTCCAATGCGAATTCCATTAGACAAAACTGCCTCGCTTCGTTCTCCAATGCATTGCCACTCAATTATTCGACAGACCTGTGTTCTTATCACTCTCTTCGTCTGTTGGCTTGTGCAGTCGTTGGTGCAATGAAAACATCCTCTGCTTCTGTATTATCACCACCAACTTCTATGACATCACCCACGATGCCTTCTGGAAGCAACTCTTGAACTATGTCTGCGACGGCCAGTCCGTCTTTAAAACAGTCGTTTTTCCCGATAAATGAAAAAAAACACATTAAAATTCCAATTCTTGACTGTGCGATTGAGCAAATTGAAAACCGTGGGGAAGCATGAAAAGCAATGGAGGACGAGTGTGACGTATACTTCGGGTAAATAAATATTCTTGAATTCTTTGGATTATGGGATTTTTAGAGAATCTGCTGACGGTTGCATCCAAGGTAGTTATAGAGTCTGGGTGGATCACTTTTTTGCTGTTTTCTCTATTTTGGGAGACCAATTGAACGGCTTTAAGAATGACCCAAGCTTCACAAGAGAAGCTAAAGCAATATTCCGGTAATCTGAATTTATAAGTACTGAGAGAGGTTGATTCATTTGCACAACCCGCTTTGCATTTATAAAAGAGACTTAAAATGGGATATAACTATTGCTCTTTGAAGAAATGCCAGGGGGAATCCTCTGTAGAATGTGAGGGGTTTCAGTATTCAATTCATCTATCGTGAATTGGGGTTTCTTTCCCTAGGTGGTTGTGGATGATTCAAATGGATTGAATTGTAATATTTTAAAAAGGGGATGAAGATATATATGAAAGTCGAATTAGATGAATTTAAAGTTGAGTAGCCAAGTTTTAGACATGCCTAGTTGTTTACGCTGCAAATCGAGAAGTAATCCTGCTTAGGCCAGGGCAAGATCGTACAAAAATACTTTCTACGTATTTGTTGGTCTCCAATAAAGAGGGCTGAATTTGATTACACATTCTGGAGCTTCTGGAAATAATGGATTCTGATTTTGTTCATGAAAGGGGGAAATCAGAAAAACGTGTCTTTGTTTGAATTTTATTCAAGTTTTCTTTGATTACTTGAATTGTTATTCGGAGATCTTTGCCGCGGCATACATTGGAAAAAAAAAATTTACTTGGAGCTTCTATAATACTACCTAATTGCGACCAAAAAAGAACCTGGTTGCTTTCGAGCTTATACTAGATAACGAAGGGGTTGCAGGAAAGGTTAACGTCCATTGAGTTTTCTTTTGAAATAACTTGGTTTCACGCGGCCGGCTCAAGGGCGGGAGTGCTGGTTAGAGGGTGTCTCCAGTAAGGATAAGGCTAGAAGTTCCGTTCACTTCATCACATTCGGCAAGTGGAGATTCAACTGCTTTGGGAGAAACTTTAGAATGATCAATATCTCTTTGATTCTGTGATTTCCAGTTCTGTTGGAAGAAGTAGGACATTAGTTAATTAAGAGTTACATGGATTTGGACACTTTCTATCCATGATTTGACACAAAAAACACGAAATATCCATTTTTACACAAAAAACAAATAGGTGCATCAGGGGTTAAATATATTCACTGAAAACATCATCTGTAAACACTTCAAATTATTCAGGTAATTTATATTCATGATTCGCTGAAACAAATATTTGACGGCGAAAACTGAGATTGTTGCTTAAGTTATGGTTATTAAATTCCGCATGAAGAAAAATGGTTACTGGTACTGCAGTTCTAACACCGAATATTTTTTCTTCAGTCACTTGATGTGGAATACTGGGGCAAACATTTGATAGAATTTTGTTCCTAGAAATTAATGGTCTTATTGGGAAAACTTGGTCACAACGTTGCTCGATTGTAGACTAGATATGCGATTTCCTTGCTGGTTAGATATATACACATACTTTTGTTCGATATTTTCGAAGCAAACTTAATATGAGAGGGGTGAACTTCAGTAGATCTGTTGTTTCATCTGCATATATGAAAATCTCATTTCTTTTCGGGAGGTTGAGTCGTGGGATGGAAAATTGTCATGGGAATGCCTGATGACCGCACTGATAGCTTGCTTCGGAAGACGGTCGTGAAAGTCAGCGTGGACCAGGTCCTTAAGGACGCGGTCGTTGTGCGGGTCCCAGGCGCCTCTGGCGCCGATGACAAATAGGAAAATCTGTACATTAGACACCCCAGGACATGCGAGGATAGCTGTACGAAGATTGCGTATTTACGCATCTTTTTAGCATGTGCCTCTGCCAGAGTCCCTTTGCCACCTTCAAAGGGGGTGGTAACGTCAACGATGAGTACAGATCGAGCGCTCCCATTGTGCAGAACGAGGTCGGGTCGAAGGTTTTGGTTGAGGAACGCCTCGTCCTCGGCCAGAACCAACCACGTATTGGCGGTGGAAGTCATTATAAGTATGTTAACACCATTGTTATGTCAGCTCGGATTGACACCATTTTGGGTTTACAGTGGTTGATTGTGTGGGCGAGCGTCTCGGGCCAAACATCCGAGGAGTTGTCTTTCGTGAGCTTCCGAAGAACGAGATTGTGTTGGAGGGGGAGAATGGTGGAGGGGGAGGGTTTGTCTATGACGGCAATAAGGTTAGGGATCAGGCAGCCATCGACTTCCCGAAGGGCCCAGCAGATGCCGAGGACCTTAGAGGCGTGTCTGGCGCCTGACCACATGGGCCTGCGGCCCATGCGGTGGGAGGGGAACCTAACGCTCACTACCTTCCGGCGGTCGGCAGTGGCGAGTTGGTGAATAACCATATCCCTAGACAATTGCTTGAAAGCACCTTCAATAGAGGACAGTAGAGCCTCTGTGCGAAAGACTGGTAATCCAACGCCACCACCAGAGCGGGAGGCGTGGAGGAAATGCATGGAAGCATTCTCCAGGAGACCAAGGAGCTGTTTGGCTAGGCATCGGAAGGATTTGTCAAAATCTCCTGCGGTTTTTAAGGAAAAAGACCACATGCGGAGTAGAAAGGAAAGCTGAGGTACAATGAAGGCAGACACGGCATTCACCTTTTGCCACGGGGTAGGGTGGAGTCGCGGACCTTCTCAAGCAGTGACAGGTCAGCAGGATTGAGGGAAGTGACGGGTCAGCAGGCAAGATGGAGAAACCCACAGGTTTGCCAAGGAAAACTGTGGTCGTCAGAGGATAAAGTTTCGATAGTTTCTGCTCCTACCGTGACAACGGGGGTGGGGTCAAGGGTCCCCCCGTGGATAAACAGTGCGTCACAGTTGGAAGGTTTAAGGGACATGCCCTGGGAGGAGGAGGAGGAAGAGAAGACAGTCCAGCATGGCCTGGACTAGAGAGGGAGAGGAAGCGGCGAGTCAGAAGTCGTCCGCGTAAGCACCGCCCCTAACCTGGAGGTCATAGAGTGCCAGTGAAGCTCTGAGGACCCGATCTATGGCTAGGTTGACCAGGAAAGGGCCGAGTGGGCAGCCCTGATGGACGCCGCCGGAATGAAGGACGGGGTCGGAGAGGCCAGCCTCCGTGTCCACGACGGTGGAACGATATGAGTTGAGGTCTTTGACAACAGAGGAGAAACTGGCACCCGCACCCGAGGCCTGAAGGGCAGAAAGGATCGCGGAGTGGGGAAGGGAGCCGAAGGCATTAGAAAAATCTAGGAAAATGATGGAAATATTGCCCCTTTGCAGCTTGATATTATTGATTAGGGTTTCGACCATATAATTATGTTCGAAAACCCCATCATGGGGGCGAAATTATTATGAATGAATTGTCAATGAATTATACAATTGGCGCCCTATTTCCAGAGTATGATGCCAGCATTTTATTTCAAGGGAAAGAGATAGCATAGTAATTTTATCGTAATTAATAGTAGTCGTACTGTTGATGACATTCAGTTCTATGGATTTGAGAGGAGTCCACGATGGTCACAAAAAAAAGGAAAATAACTTTTCACTTATGACGAACACTATTTCACGTCATAATAACTCCACTTTTTCCACGTTTTACTTGAGATTGACAACCACCCAGGAAGTGAACGCATGCCCAACGTGCTTTCCCCTGGACAGAACAGTGTGTCCGGACACCACGGCGGTCAGAGAAAGACTGATATTCTTATGAAGTACATGAAATGATTTGAAGATATTTTATTGAAGAAAATTTTGCATGAAGTAAGAAATATCTAGTTTAAATATTAAAGTATAAAAGGTTTTAAAAAATAGCACGTTTCAGTATAAGATTCCAGATGTCTTGAAAATACGATATATGCTACATTATTAAGGTAACTTAATTGGAACAAAAAAATTTTGAGCCATTTTTGGGAAAGTCTTGTTTATGTAGTTTTTTTAATTGTCACTATTTCAGTTAGAATTTAGTAACTCATATTTTCCAAAAAAATATACAAACATTATGTAAAGATTTAATTTTGAAATACAAATTTTATCAAGAAAACATATTACGAATCACTTTTATTGATAGGGGAAGGATGTATTTAGAAGTCACATTGCTTAGAACATGTTTTATGGGACCCGGAACATGCAATTTAATTGTGAATTGACCATATTCTCACCAACAAATAATGTAAATCGTCATTTGATTTCAATATGACATTAATTACAGTTTTGCAACATGTTTACCTTGCAACATACAATACCTGCAGGAGTGTAGTTCTAAACAAAATAATGTTATTGCTAATGTTATTCCAATTAATGTTATAATATTTAATGTAATTGTTTTGTGTTCATATCAGATTAATGTAAAATTCGTGAGCCTTTTTGCAAAACGTTGATATGCTATAATTGTGTATGTGTCAGTTGTGTATGTATTCCTGGATATTTATTTTTTTTTACTATGCCTATTGTATGGTAAAAGACGTCACAAGAAGCTGTGGGCGAGTTCCAAAGAAATACTTATAAAGTGGAAAAATAATTTGTATATTTGTGTAAAGTTGTTAATGTATTTAGATTCATTAGTAAATCCAATACATGTAATGGAAGAACCATTACAATGTATTTAATGAAGGAACAGGATCCCACTGCGTCTTGTGGTGAGATTTGCAAGTGATGATATACGAGATCGAAGACGAATATTGCAATGTAGAGTGATGTATGTGTAAATTGGAATACGTAACCGGTAATATGACGTGCGTGTCTCTTCTTTATGTGAAATCAGTACAAGTAGCGTGACTTTCGTAATAAGTTAATTAAATACGTACGAGTGTACATTTTTGTGTGAGCTAGCAAGTCAGGTTACGTAGCTGCTATAAACTGCTTAGCCAGCGTTGCTGAAATACGATTCATTGGCCAGTATGCAAGGGAAGATTTTATGTAGATAAAGAGGGGAACAAGAAGATAAATGTAGCTTCACTACGCGAACGCTTTATTGAGCTCTCCTTTTGCGAGTGGTGGTGCAATGCTAACAATATCCAATATTTTGTTCGTTGACCAATGCATATAAATTTTCTGTACCAGCGAAAATGTCTAGTTTTCAAATATTGCTTACCTCTCTCCTTTTTGGTATGTGTTCATCATTTGCTTTAGAAAGAGCTCAAGAAAACGTGCGCAGATTATACTTCTCCCACATACGTTTCATTTTTAATTGTATGTATTTATTTAACGTTAAACACAATTAGAAACTGTGTGACGTACTATAGAAAGGGTTTCGAAATAATCTGCGGATCCTAAATACGATTTTAAATGTAATGTTTCAAAGTGTTAATTTGTTCATGGAATGTATTCATGTAAAACTTAGATGAAATTCAAATTTGTATAAAATGTTTTGTGTCGGTAAGAAAATAAATGTAATTATTTATACAGTGTTGAATTTTTGTGGTATAATCCTGCTCGTGTCCTTCATCTCCTTGAACTAGAAGAAAACATCATCCAGAAATTGATTTTATGATTATAATGTCAAAGTAAAGTTAAAAAACAAGAGGTTTAATTTAATTTTCGTATCGAAAAGGACAATTTTTGTGACTGAAAATTGCCATTTCCCCTCGTGTAATTCATGAAGATTTGAAAATGATATATTTGGAAGTAATATTTTTCTGCAAGTACAAAGTACATAGTTTTGTCACATAAAATATTCACAAGCGTATCCGTAACTAATGACTCAAGAAATATAACTGATCAGTAAATGATGGCTACTTCTAGAACAGTTATTTTATATTAAGTGCATGAAATTATTGGTTTTCAGTGAGAGTTAAGTGATATGTTTATTGCGGGGTTAATAGAGAAGAATTGAAAAGTGTATTACGGAATTTTGGGGTAAAGTGAGGAAGAAACAACGTGAGAATTGATTATCCGTAGCTGTGCGTAGTGAAGTCGAAATGATAATTGAACGGGGCCAAGAGCTGTCATTATAGATTACTTAATGCCGCCTGAACTTCAACAGAGAGCAGGAATGATTAAAAATAAAACACCGCAAGAACATCTTTCTCGGAAGAAAGAGGGCGGCCACCGCACGGCCGTCCGCCTTGCCCCCTTTCCCCTCCTCAAAGTACCTCCTGTACATTCTCAGTTTAAGCTGCATTCTCATTCATTTTTTTAACACTTACTGCGAAGCAGCAAGTATAACGATAATATTGTTTTCTTTTATAACATTCTCAGTGAAACGATAACTTGGTGTCTGTAAGCAGTCGCAGTATTCAATTATGGGATGATGTGGCAGAGCGGTTTCAGGGAAACATTTCGATTCGGTTATTAAAGTTAATAAATATGATGAATCACAAAATCAGTTAAGTAATATTTTAAAAATATATAAAATAGAAGTCCGGTAATCAAAGTTGGTTTGAAATGCTCGGAGGTCGTAAGTAAATTTTGACGATATAGATAGTTAACGTTGGCGTTTTGAATGTTTGTTGTTCAAGATAAGAAAGTGATGGCCCTTTCGGGGGGCAAGGGTGCAAGGCGGACTTTGCTCTCATTCAAGTCGTATTTATTGCGGTGACCAGCGACATCTGTCCCCATCAAAGAAGCCAGCTGCAGGAATGCCGGCACGGTAAGTGTGCGGGGGTGAGAGACGTTCGGTCGGTGTCGATGACGGGGGGAGGCAGGTGGGCGCAGCGGCTGGAATCCAATTAGCTTGTCATTGAGTTTTCTATTCGTGTATGTAAAGATGGCAACAGTGCAAAAGCTAGTCATTGAAGCAAATCTGTGTTCTAGTAGTAAATCTATGAGCATTATTTTCATCGTACGTCAGGAAAAAAATAGTAGGCTGCTAAGAAAACCCAGCTCAACCTTCTCCTCAAAACATTCCGAGGGCCTGAAATCAGCCTAGGGACTTGCGGCAGGCTGAGCAGTCCTGTCAGCGCCTTACACACACACACACACACACACACACACACACCATATATATATATATATATATATATAATATATATATATATATATATACATACATACATACATACATACACACACACGCGCGCGCGCGCGCAGGTAAGTAACCAAGCGCGCCTTGGAGGGGCGACACACACGCTGATCAGTGACACGCGAACGACCCGAATCGCGCCGCTCGTACAGGTAAGTGTAATGAGTTCATGATGGGCATTCCCTCTTATCGGGTGTGTCAGTATGCTTTTAATGGACGTTTAGAAGGCGCTTCAAATGCCACGATTGGCGCCCATGCCCAAGTAATTTAAGAACTTGCCGTTTTCATAAAACAAATGCTGCATATTCGCGTGGGCGCACAGAGAAAACAAGGGGCTTGAAGCAGTGAATCCAGTTTATTTCCAATAAGTTCCCCTTATTATATTTAAAAGTTAAACATATTTTAATTACAGCTAATTTTTTTTCAAAAAATGTATTAAAGGAAATACATTTTGTATAAGTTTTCGGGCCTTGCTTAGAAAGGGGCCTGGGGGAAGTCCCACTCTCTGGACGCCCGTGCATATGCATGAAACTCGCTAATTAATGAAGCATATAGTAAATGTTGCGTTAGATTAATAATATGTTAAACCTTAAAACTAGCTCTATAGAGGTCAAGTATAATAATATATGCAGTCTACTAATTGAATTTTATTCAACGTCCCTTCGTAAAGTAATCGCCTTGCTGCAGTGAAAACATGGAGGGCGATCAGTTGAATACCTATTTAGTATAACTAACTAGCTAATTGTAGAACACATGCTGAGGTAATGAAGTTGCACTTATGATCGGAAGCAAAACAATGGGACATTTCAGCATTCTTTCAAAAAGTCATGGAAAGTAGACTAAAAGTCTGATTGAGATGGGGTCACTAAAACAGAAGCTGAGGTACAACACTTGTTACAGGCATATTTAGTCCTTTAGAATAAAACAGCCCTAGTGGTAATTAATTTATTAAATATAATTGTTAAAATCAATATTACTTGCGATTTGATAGTCTGATTAGTCTCGGATTGTATAGATTACGCAGCACAAAAGTTTACTTGGCACTCAAACTGGCGAATCTATTTTAATAGTTTAATGTCATCTGGCAAAGTATTGTAAAATAATGTACATGTATTGCGTGTGATTGTAGTCAGCCGTTGATACAGGTGCCTGGTGATTATAATTACTACGACGAGTTATAGACATCTACATTGTCTGAAAATTCGAGTGTATTCTCACCCTCGAGTGAGTCATTTTTTCGTAAAACAACTGAATCGTAAATCAAGAGGCAAACCAATGGTAAATTTCCTAACTTAATAGAATATCGTGGATTTTGCTATTCATGTAATTCTTTTCTGTTATGTAAAAATTGAGAGCTAGACTTTATCTTGAGCGGGAATAAACATTCGCGATATGTACGCAACGAGCAGTATGAAGGACAGCTGCATTTGAAAAAGTCCTAAACGCGTAGGATTAATTTTCGGTCAATGTATTTAAATGGACATTCGATTTGAGGTCTGACAAATTAAGATGTCCAAAATGTTCGTTACCTTAAGATTATTCCCAAATTGAAAAGGACGCTTTGGCAATACTTTTTGGAGTAAAAACATTCAATGAGTATTTCCAATGACTCAAATGTCATATAATTACGCTTTATTATTTGTACAACCCTTCCGTACTGGTAAGAAGCTACCAAAATATACTAAAAACCTGCAGAGATGGGCTTTGTTTTTGTGAGACTACTATTATAAGGAACAGCATTAAAGAAACGGTGCTTGAGTTATTGCACGAGGGTCACAGGGACGTTATTAACACAAAGCAGCTGACCAGGCGACATGGCCTTGGATATCCGGATTCCCGGATATCCGGGAAATGATCAGGAAGAGTGAAGCGTGCCAAATTAACCACAATAAAAACGAAAAAGGTCTTGGTGTGTCGTCCACAACCAAGGGGGGATCAAGGGGAGCCCATAAATGGACGTTCTATCGAAACTGAATCAAGCTACATATCATGTTAAGATGCATTA